TTCACCAAGAAAAAATACAGTACTGATCGAAGTGGCGCTACCCATAACTCACTTATTCCTTTATTCAGGAATTATGTTTTACTTATGTGGTGTTTTATGTGTACTTCATATGTTATGTGTTTTGTTATTCTGTATGTTCCCAAGTATGATTATTTTTTGTGCTCCTCTTATTCCTTTATTTTTCCCTATATCAAAATTCTGTATCTCCAATCTGTTTTTGCTTTTATCGTATATTTCTAGTGTAGTTTATCTTACAATTTTCTCTGATATTAAAATATAATTATTAAATCCACACTTTGTGGGTCGTGTAAAATGCATCATTTAAAACGATATTTTGGGGATGATGTAATACCAAATACGCTGTGTACATCCTTTAAACGAGTTGGGTTAGCAGTGTTCCATCTATAACATCTATAAGGAACTTGTCAGATAATACACATGGTGTTTCCGTCAAATGACATATACGAGTATGTAAATATCGCTCTAAATAGTTGATATGGTATAAAAGAACCTCATTCTATAGCTATTTCACACCTGTAATTTATTGATCCCTTAATAAATTCTTCAGCATTCTTTTTTCAATACAATATATGATCATTTGTTATGAATCATTATTAGGAATATGTGTGACATTTATCGCAAAACAAAAGCTCCAAGTTATGTCTTTAAGTATCATGTGATGTGTAAACAGTTATTATTGTATAACATCAAGTGAAAGAACCGTTAAATTGTTGTCGGAACTGCACGAGCTGTATTAACATGAGATACCACATATGAAATGAATATTCGAACAAACAGATGTCCTATCAATATCTGGCCTGCCGTCTAATCGAATCATCCCGTCTCAGGATAGACTGTAGTACCTACACCATGTTCTTTCAGCTATTCCATCAATATCTGGCCTGCCTCCCACCTACACAGTGATCGAGTCATCCCGTCTCAGGATAGACTGTAGTACCTACACCACACCCGGCAACCCTCCAACAACAAGGTACACCTGGATCTATGGTGGTTCTACTGTCAGTACTGGGGCTGTACTTGACAGAAGCAGCATCAGTAGAAGTCAGGGAGGAAGCTACACCTGTGCTGCCAGCAACACTCGGGGGTTTGACTCGGCCTCAGTCAATGTGGATGTACAGTGTGAGTAATTGCGACACCGAAAGTAAATTTGTTTGTTGTTCTTATTGTATAAATTGTATAAATACGATTATTATTATTTTTGTTATTATTATATAAATTGTATATTGAAAAAATCATGCCATAACAGTTTACATAGCAGAGTGGTAGGAGTCATGCATGTTTACTGGATAATAACCAGTGAACGAACATGTCTAATGTTCAACAGCAGTCAATATGGATTTCTTATTTCCATTTTTCAGATTCTCCTTTTATACCTGGACTTCCAACAGTGCAGAAT